TGGGAAGCCATATAAAATTGCGAAGTTTTCACCAAAGTTTAATCAAGTCTTTAAGTTCAATTTTGCGAGGAAGCCGGATTTACTATGTGTCTGAAGGCATTATTAAAATGAGAGGTTTCTCATAGAGAATCAGGTTTCTTTACCAACTACTGCTTTATTTTGGTCTCATTTTAGAGGTTTCATTTCCCTTGCACGTCCGAATGAACTCTTAACTTTAGGTTTATGGCTTGCTCCTTTTATTTGGCTGGCTGGTCAGTCACTTAGGTTGATGTCCGGGGCTTGGCTTACACCTGTCTGCTGCTTTCCGTTTTAAGGGCAACGAATAAAAATTTCATGGCTACAACTCAATTTGGTGTTAAACAAGGGAAAGTGTGAAGCATTTAATGGTAGGCAACTTTAATGTAATCAAGCAGCTGAACCCAGGCCGAGTATACTAGTATTCCAGCTTAGTAGAGGGCTGTTTCGCATTATGCAAAATGGGGAAAGAGAAATAGTTGCAGCCTTTGCTGCATATAAATTCGTCTTCCTCGTCTTCAGACTTGAGTAAGTTTTCGCACTTAAAAAAACAGATATCCGCTGCACTGGTATTTAAATGGCTTTGATTTGGAGTTTATTTGTTTTAGGAATTTATTCAATATATTGTTATAAAATAAAAGAAATTAAATATGTTAATATTTTTTTAACTGTTTTTAAAAATTACATCAACCACAAATGTATTACCTACCTTTTTTCTTGCCATGAAATATTTTTCCACTTTCGGCATTCGACTTTTGTAATCGTCCCTGTAAACTTTTAAAATTTTTCTGAGTGTACCCTGAACACTTGGAACTCCTGAACCCAAGCGCGTCTGGGACAAGGATAAGTTTATGGCGCCCAGTGTTCGTCGCGCACTCTTCGTTTTTGGGCAGAAGTATTAAAAACTTTTATTCTTCGTTCTTTTTTGCCGCTTACTGTGTGCCTTTGATCTTGGAGGCGGGCGTAAAGATGTGGGCAGGACTTACCAGCTCATTGCAACGCATCTCCGCCGGTTTTTCATTCCCATTTTCCGTTTCCCATTTCCCTTTCACTTCCGACCCCTGACCCCTGTTCTTTAACTGGCGCGAAAATGGTGGATTTCGGTCGTATTTATTATTAAATAGTCTTGTGGCAGTGCAATCCGCGTCGAACAAGGACGCAAGTGGCTAGAAGCCCAAGAGAGCTGCCGGCATATTCGTGCACCATGTGTGGCATGTGGCATGAGGCATGTTGAGTTTGCCAGCTGCTCCTCGCCCCGGGTTTTATTTTGGCTGAAGCCCGCACAAATTAAAAGCTTTTCGCAAGTGCACCTGGCTGCTCAAAAAACAGTGATTCGGCCTTCGGCATAGTGGACAATCTACGCAGATAAACAACCAATCTGATTCTTTTTAAATTAAAGTTTTAAGATAAGCCTTCGGTTTTGGTAACTGAAATGTAGATGGAGAAATACATAATATGTTTGTTGATAATACAATTAGACACACTGAAAATGCATGTAGACAAATATAATAAAATATTTAAATAAAATATATGGGATTCAGTTTATTAAAAACAATATGATGCTCATCTAAAAAAAAGGTGGTAAATAACTTGGAATAAATATGTACTATAAACAATTCATAAGTCCTAATTAGATTGAATTTAATAAAGTAAATTTAAAAGAATATATTTGATTTTGTTTAAAACATTCAAAATGTATTCGACTGCCCCGTAAAAACTTTTTCCAAGTTACTGTAACTTCTATTGTAGGATTTTGAGCATCAAAGTTTGGCCCTGTACCTATCCGGGATTAGCGTAAATCATTCATACGATCGGGCATACTTCATGGCGGCTAAGCCTCATCACACAATTTATGATTCCCGCTGGGCAGACAAAACGGCCCACACGCTAAGCCGACAACTTGTTGGACCCTTGGCCACATTCCTCCCCTCCTCTGCTCTCCCCTTCTCCCCTCCCTTGCTTTTCCACTGATTTGTGGCCAAAAGCGGGCATTATTAAAGCCTTAAGGCAAAGCGGATCGAGGGGGATGGAGAGAAAGTGCTGGGAAATCCTTGGGGCTGTGGCTGCCGATTTGCAGGTTCATTTGTATGCAAGCTCACGGAGCGCGAGAACGAAAAACTTATAACCCAACCGTGTTGTAAGTTTAGTTTAATAGTTGCTCGCCCGAGTTTTGCCATCTCCAGTCGCGTCGCGTTTTAATGCAAATTAAAACGTTGCCGGCGCCAAAAAGTTGTCCGTGCTCCATCATTTTTGGCGCGTCAAAGATTAAATTGAGCTAGCAGACGCCTGGGACCTAGACCAAAAACCCAACCAAAAAGTATATGGCCGCATTAAGTCACTGGCGAACAAATGGTTGTTTGCAGTTTGCCCAGGATTCAGACTGCTGCCAATTTTGTCACACGGTTTCTGGCACATTATAGCCAAGAAAAAGCGTCAAGAAGCTGCTGAGTTTGTCAAAAGTCGGCCATAAACTTGATGACCTTTCTTGGGAGTAAGACATTAAAAGGGGCTAAATTAGACGTACTAAAAGAATCCAGGTGGGCTTGTAAAAAATACAAGCCCTACATTGACTACATTATTGTTTAATTTTATTTGTCTGTCGAATTAAGCATGTAATTAATAAAGATTAAATTTTAATAGCCATTCAATAAATACTTGATTGCATTAAATAAAGTATTATTAAACATTGGTTTAATGGCAAAAACGTCAAGTACCTAATTACATTTCGGTAATCCCTTAATTACATTTAAATTTTAATGAAATGTAGAGCACCATAAAATCAAAATCAATTATTTATAATGAAAGGATTAAATTATAATAGTGGCTATTGTTTAATCATACAAATAGAATCAGTCTGCCCATTTTAAATAAGTGGGTGGCTTGTTGCACTTTTTTTTTAATACTCCGGCTTTTCCTTCAACCCTTTACAAATTTGTATACAAAATCAATTTTATTCTTCCTTTTTTTCGCTTCAATCAACATTTGATTTAAATGTAATAAAACTTTGTAAAAATTCAATTTCCTGTTAAATTTCCCTTTGCAGTTTTATATAAAATCACATGCAATTTTACCTTTCGCTTTGTAAATATTTTCCCGGTTATTGCTTTTCGATTTAATTTGCATTTTGGTTGGACCATTTGTAGAGCTTTTCAATGTAAATTATAAAAGAGAATATAAATTTACTTGTCATTAACAATCAGTTAATTCCAAAAATGGAATAAGCCTTTGGTCAAGTTAAGATAAGACTACAATAGTAATTTTATTTGATCTTTGTTATATGTATCAGCTCTAATATATTTTACACTTCTATACAATGCAACTTCATTCTCCTAAAATCCTAGTTGAATTTCCCTGAATTATCATTAGTTTCCTTGAGCCCCTTCTTCATTTCATTTTGGCTTTGCGGTTATTTTTCAGAAGGGGTATTTGCATTAGCCGACATTGGCTTTGAATTTAGCTTTGGCTTTGGCTCGACACGGCGGTTTGTGGAAATTCCTCGGCTTCTGCGGCTGCCTGCGGTTTGTCTTCTCCCTCTGTTGCTGTTGTTGTTGTTGATTCCTCTGTTCGTAAGCAATTTAATTGAATTATTTGTACTGCCTCTCGTCCTGGCATCGTCCTCTCATCGCAGCTTCATCTGTGACAGCTGCTCTAATTAGCTGGGCGAAGGCAAAGGCAAAGGCGTTTAATTAGCTCGCCTTCACTAGGAAATTGAGGTACACCGCGGTAGGGTTAGGCTAGAATAGGCTGCCTGGGCCTTACAGCCATCTATTATGACCGAATTGAATTGCTAACAACCTAAGCAGCAGTCGACGACGACAACAAATGTCATTCGTCCACAATCAAAGCATTTAAATTAATTTCACGTGCCACTTTGGCCTCCATATATTTTGTTGTTACTGCCAGGAGGAAAATGACTCTGAGTGAATGAAATCTGAACTGTGACGGGAATTGCCGGGGGAATAATTGAAAAGACACTTGAATTGATACTGAAAATGAAAATTATTTAATGGCAGTGCTAACTGGCATTTCCTACACACTCTTCGGGGCATTAAGTCATTATCAGTTTAGAGAGCAATCACCACTGGCCATAATTAATAATGAGTTTATAACTTTTTCAATTGGCTTAACTTCAGCAATTTCGACTTGAACTGATTTAAAGATTTAAAGTAGTCACGTGGCTAAATCACGGGAAGTCACGGCCTGAGCTGAATTCGTTTTACTCAAAAATCTATTCTATCCTAACTGTTGTTATTGACTTGGCTTTCGCCTCGCCTAGCCTTGTTAGGCAGCTGCTGTCTGTCATGTCATTTATCCAAAAAATCTGCCATAAACACGTCGCACACGTATGCGCCATTTTAAAAATGGCGTCAGCTTTACTTCCGCTAAATGTTGTCGTGGATTTTGTCTGTGAGTTTGGTGTGTGTGTGGGTGTTTTTCCGGCGGGTCCAAGGCAACTGCATTTGAATTCAATTGAATGAGATGCTTATGAAGTCGTTAAGGGCCCCATACCACACCACACCACACATCCTAGTCCCTCGTCCTTTGCTGCTCCTGTGAATCCCGACTGTTGGCAATATTGTCACATCGTCGAAAATAATTGCCGGAAATACAAAAGGAAGGCGGCACCCAAACCGCACCAAATAGAATCGAGCTGCGGAAGAGAATGAACGCAATCGGAATGGGAATAGATTTCCAATTTTCTCGGCTCCCAGGGAGGAAGCACCGCAGGGCGTCCTTGTCATTGCGGCTTACGTGGCGTATACTCAACTATAATTAATTACGCCTTTTGTGTCCGCGTGGGTGGGGTGTTTCCCAAGTCCTGGTCCAAGGATTTATCCGGATGCCGGACGCCGAACGCTGGATGCTTCCTCCTTGAGTGGCTTCTTTTCAATTTCAATTGTTGGGTCATTGACTGGCCACCAGCTCCCCAGAGCTATAAAAGCCCGATTGCCTTGCCGGGATAGCCACATTCATGCACGGCCAGTGCAAGGAAAAAGTACTCGGAATTCCGACTGGACTCGGTTGGTAGAATGGCCATGGCCCCACTGCTGCATCTGCTGCTCCACTGCGCCACCACCCTGCTGATTGCCAACGCCCTGGTACTCAGTCCCCAGTTGCTGGGCTCTGAAAATGAGGGAAAATCCAAAGTCGGCTTTCCTATCGACTTGGACGACGGGGTAGACGGCGTTGATCTGCCCCTGGAGGTGGAACAGGATGTGGCCGGGGATCAGGCTGCGCCACGAATGCAGCACTCCATGCCGCCCGACTGGCTAACCTTCGACGAGCCGACTCCACCCGTCAAACATCGCACTAGCCACAAGCCGCAGCTCATCCTCAAGCATCCTCCGACCAGTGGATTCCACAAGCTCTCCTCCCACGGACACCGCTCCTGCCACGTGGAGGTGGTCAGCAAGGTGCAGGGTGTCTGCCAGACGATGCCCATGGGCAGTGCCTGTGTCACCGATGACTACTTGGACCTCTACACCGATGCCAACTGCTCCACTCAATAAAGCGGTTCACTTTCGCATTGATTGATTGATTGATTGATTGTCCGTGTTTGTGTGTGTGTGTGAGCTTAGATTTTGTGCGAGGAGGAGGAGTACGACTACCTGGTGCGCGATGTCAGCAAAGCTTGCATAAATAAATCAATTTAATAAAATTTTACATTTTCTACAAAATCTTTATTATGAGATCGGTTATTGTTCAGCTATAGCAGGTTATTAATTCTACTTAGGTAAACTTTTACTAGAGCTTATGTTCATTCATTGGTTTTAATTCTTAGTCTAATACATTTGCTTAATCATTTTATATTTGTTCTAAAACCAAGAAAAATATTGTCATGAGGGAATATGGATTTAAGAAATAATTAGCAGGGAAATACTAAGTAATGCTTAACTCATTATAAAACTATTAAAATACATTTCTGGGATTGTTTGAAGAACAGATTTTTGTACAGTTTTATGCTCAGAAAATAAAGGTTAAATAAAGAATAAACAATTTACAAATTTCTATTTTGACTCACACAATTTTGATTAATTGAAAGTGGATTGGTAAAATATTTATTTTTTAATCTTGATTTAAATAACTTTGAAAACCTTATTTTCTACATTTGGTTTTTTCTTGACTGTTTTCTATCCTATTCGGCTTAATTATTAACTAAACTAAGCATAATAATAAGTTAAGTTTATTTGTTTGTTTTTTTAATATATTGAAAGCCTTTTAATATGTCAAGAGACAAACGCTGATATTTATACATTTCTATTTGTGGTATTTCTATTCTGTTTTGACTACTCTACCTCTTCAACTAATAACTAAAAACTAAATAATGTTTCCTATCCTTACCCAAGTTCTATCTCAACTTTGGCCAAATGGTAGGCTTAGCTGGCTTCACGCCCGGAATGATCGTTGAATTTCCACTGGTCACGCACTGAGCTCCAAAAACTTCCAGAAGTTGTGGCGCCCGGAAAAAGGCGGATCGCTTCCAGTTGGAGGGACCCACTCGATCCATCTGATCGTAAATAAGACCAGTTACATCCAAGGCTCGAAATTGCTCCAGAAGATGGACATCCTGAAGATCGTTGCCCCACAAAAAGAGCACTTGTTGGAGGTCCAAGGCCAAGTTAACCAACTGATGATTATTCTGGAAGTTCTCCACATGTAGAGCTGTCCCCAGAATCTCTGCGGATTGAGCAAATTTGATGGCCTGCTGGAAACTCTGAGCCCTGAGATCCATGTAAGGATCCCAGATGTGGGACCTCCCAATGCTCATCAGGATCACAGGAAAGACATGTTGCTTGAGTCTGATCATAGTGCAAATATCGGCATCGAAACTCGCGAAGATTAGGGGACGTCCACAGCCATAATAAATAGTGGTCTGTAAAATCCTGTCCACATAGCTGTTCTTATTCAGACTCTGTGTGGATTCCTGGACACCGGATGCCATTATTTGGGGCCACTTAATCTCCACCATAAGTCCCAATGTTTTTGGTAGAGCCTCGTAAACCTCCGAAAGTTTCGGGAATATTCTGTTATTTTGACTCACATCCTTAACATTCAGATGGGTGTACTCCTGAAGGGTCCAACGTTTCAGGATAAACACCCGACTGGCTTTGAGTTCGGAGTAGGTGAGTTCCCTGATCAGTACGAATCGTAGGTCAAAACGATCCCTAATATACTGATCTCTGTCGGAGGTATAAAATCCGAAACCATGCCAGACAATGGGCACATAGTCCTTTGTCAGCTGCACATCCAATTGTACCATATCTCCCATAGCCTTTTGCACTGCGAGAAAACTTTCGATTGTGTTCTCTGTAAAAACGGTCGAAGATTGGAAATAGCTGGCTCCCAAGCCACGATATCCGACATCCAAGGTGGGCCAATTATCCGGCCAATAGTGATGGAAACTCGCCCTCAAGTTACCCGCCTCCACTTTTGGCATTGGTTGAATCACCAAATAGGGCAGAGTTACCTCACCGATTGCTATATTTTGTAAACTCGCAAATACGGGCAGCTGCAGAATGCCACGACTTCCTTTGATCTGCTCCGGAAATATGTAAACTTCTGCCACGGCCAACTGGACATCCCTTGATCCTTGGTACAAAGACAGGCGCAGGGCATTGTAAGTGTCCAAAGGTTGATAGATTCGAAAGACAAGTGGGGATCCCCGAGTGTACTTCACTCCCCATTGGCTTTGTGGTCTAAAACCTGACTGATTGTAGGCAAATCGAGAGACCTCAATCCGAGTGTCGTCTATAATATTCAGAGGTGTCAAAATCAAGCGGTATTTGGCATTGCTTGCCATTCCGGATATGTCAAAGTGATCCTGCCAGACGAACTTCAATTCAATGACGTACTCGTACTGCAGCCAACCGCGTTCCAGATAGAATCCCCCGCCCACAGAAGTGGGATAGGCCTCTCCGAAAATGTCCAGACCCGGGGAGCGATATATCTCGTAGGTCTGCAGCATTCTGGCCACTCTCTGACCTTCCCATGTCCTTAGGATTCGCTTGCCTTGGCTGTTCTTCGAGTAGATCAAGTACCGGTAGTAGAATCTCTGGCTGGCGCATATCCACACCCGGAGGTACCATTTCGATCGGGATTTATCCTGCTCCTTGAGCGGCAGAGCCTTATCCAGTTGCCAGGAACCCAGCGAAGGGTGATCCCCACTCACAGCCACATATTCATCGGGGGCCAGTCGAATGTTGTGCCCTAGCTCCAGGCTGAAGACCCGAAAAAGCGGAACACAGATGAAACTGCGACCCGAGATCTGGCTGGGTTGCTCATCGTCAAAGATCTTGAAGGCCTGCAGCTTCTCGGGCCCGAAAACAGACGTCTCATTCACAAAGGCCACGCACAACGGCAGAAGCTGCAACAGCAGCAACCCAGGGGGTATGCTAATTGATTTTAACACATTCAACACGCCGCGAGATCGATACATTTTTCCTCATTCCACACAGCAACATCACCATCTTCGCGCCACCGAAACGAGTTTTCTCTTTCGGTCAAAAATAATTCGAAATAGACTTAAGATCGGAGACGAGACCAAAAACAAAAACACGATGAACGCGGATCGGATGCGGACGCAACTTGACCCGACGATGACAAACAACCGAATGAAAGAATTTCTTACAGCTCACCATGGTTTTGTTTCCGTCGAAATTGGAGTTGGCCTGGCCTGGGAATCGGCATCTGAATCCGAATCCGAATCAGCTGCGATCGAAGAAACTCTAACTAATAAGTCAGCGGCAGCTCACTAATTGAGTTGATAGGTGAGGTTTTGGGACCATTGGGCACCAGCGATGACGGCGTGAGCAGATAAAAGTCGGGCTAATTAAAACATTATAAAGATATTATCGTGACAACAGGAATTTTAATTGGTGACGGAGGGCAGCCTTTCACTGAATAAATTATTTTTTAGATCACTGCAGAGATAGTATCTCAGCCCATTACAATTTCTCATAACTTCTGTACAATAAATGCAATCTTCTTTATTACTTTGCACACAGAGTATCTTTCCTTCGGTTTGCTTGAAAGTTCTTTCTTTGTTTTAAGATATTCGCATATTTGTACCAAATTTGGCATATGTAAATTTCTGGGTAAAGAAAGTTGCCAGTTTGAGAGGAGAGATGCGATGATACAATGACTGGCTCAGATGTTTTCGTTCTCCACCAAGGGCTTGACATAAACCGGATTATAGTCCAAGACCAGGTACCTGGACAAGTGCCAGCGCTGCATTATCGGAGGCTTCTTGGTCCGGCAGTCCTTTCTCTGCCGGATTAAGGTGAAGTTTTGGAGTGACAGATCGACTGTCTTGAGGTACGAAGATATCTCACTGAGAGTTTCCTCGGTGGGAATGGGTTGACGGGTGTAAATGGCCATTTGGTGACGCATCCACGGCAAGGAACAGTGAAGCTCCACTGCATAATTATCGTAGTCCGTTTTGGTAATCCGTGTCCAATATAGATCCACTAATTATTAGAAACATGAGATTTAAATAACATAAAATAAATAGTAAAAAAGCTGATTAATACTTTTATAACCCTTCAGTTATTGGTAAGCTAAATATGTACACATGCTATCATAACGATAAAAGTCCATAGTAAATACAATTAATGAAATGAAAAGGTAACCAAAATAATTAAATGCCTGTAACAACAAAGCTTAACATTTCTATTTAAACGTTAAAATAAGTAAGTTAAATTTGAACTGTATAGGTCGTAAATTAGTCACTTGATAATTGTTTTACTTACGATCTTCAAAGTAGCAGACTTTTATTCTCTCTGGATTGGTTCCATAAACATACCAGCCGCCCTTGATCTACAAAAGCCAAATCAAGTCTCAATTAGCGGCCTTTTGCTTATCGAATTTCAAGATCATCGGCATCACTTTCCCACCTTCTCGACGTCCACTGGGAATTCTTTGTACAAACATTTCCAACTCCAAAAGGCGTCCACGGAGGTGGCCAACAGCAATGAAACCAGGCCCACAGCGAGGAGACATTCGCATTTGGCCATCCCAAGACCAATGCAAATGAGGCGCTCTCTAATTGACCATAAACCGAACGGGCTTTAGGCCTGACTTCCAGCACGAGGGCCAAACCTTTTTATGGCCCACTCTCCATTTTCCGTTTATGGGCCGTGTTTTGGGGCTCAGTATTTTCATGGCTGCTTTTACATTCGTCACGGGGCCATCAAATTTAAGCGGATCGAATTTTTACATACGACTTGGGCTTTGAGGCCAGAGAATTTCTTTTTTCATTTGTCTGAGATCAGAGTAAAACACATCGTTCAGTTGAGTTGTTATGAAAATATTTTTTTGTGATTTTATTTACATTCGACTTTATCAATAACCTTTGGTTTTTGATTTGTGTTTGTCGTTAAACTGATTTTAAATATTGATAAAAATATATTATTTGTTTCTTAGAGTTGGAAAGGAGTAAGCGACTTCTTTTTATAAACTTTATCTTGATGTTTCTACAAGTAATATTCATCTACTGTTTTAAATATTAAAAAAATACATTTCACGTGAATTTGAATAAAATTTATAAACAAAGCAATTGTAAACCAATCATACACGCCTCAAATTAATTTCACAACAGTTATATAAAATATTTCTCTAATTTATATAAAATAGTTATTTGCACAAGTCACAAAAACATCTGTTGATATTACATCAATACATATATATTCCCCTTTTAGTTTTGAATAGTTATTCTGTACTTAAGATTTAATTAACAAAAGCTAATTAGCAATTTCTCATTTTTGTTTTTGTTTGCATGTTTTGCATAGAGGTATAGATCGATTTTTAGCAGGTAGTGTACATAGGTGTATGTGCTCTTTTAATTCTCGGCTCTTCGCTTCGCTTTCTTCCCATTGTCTTTTGTGGTGCTACTTAATTTTTGGGGGAATTCCTTTTTTGCATGTGTAATTATGCCAAATGACGGCTTAACGTGCATAGAGATGATTTATTTATGGGTTTTCTATTTCGCTGTTTCCGTTGGGCAACGAGAAACTGCAAATTACCCAACCACTTTAAAGCTTCTCACATTTCTCTTTCCCAGTTAGTGTTTAAACAAATATACAAGCTAACTTTAAAAGCCTAATGATTAACCATTGCTTAGATTTACCCGCCCGTTTCACTTTAGTAACCCTATTTCTTTTAGATCCGGCATTGAGCCGCGAACTCGGCCATCAGCGCGGGTGATTTGAAGAAGGCTTCCTGTTTGCCCTGCGGCATGAAGAGATCGCTGCGATCGTAGCATGTGGCGGTGGCCCCGATCCGGGTGAAATACTGCACGCGCTCCTTGGAGTTGCAATCGTCGCCCCAGATCACGGCTATTTGGCCCAGATCCTTGGCTTTTTGCAGCATCTCAGGGGCATTATCGCCCAGGAAATCCTCGGCATGTGGAGCTGTGCCGGCCAACTCGAAAGCTTGAGCATTGTTCACGGCAGCCATGAAGGTACGCGTTCGCAGATCCTGGAACGGCTGCCACTTTTTGGTCTCGCCCTGGGTGAGGAACATCACCGGGAAAATGTTCTGCTTGAACCGCAGCATCGTACACATGTCGGCATCGAAGCTGGAGAAGATTATGGGTCTGCCACAGCCCTTTTCGATCACCTGATGGAGCACCTTGTCGGCAAAGAAATTCTTGTCGATGGTTTGCTCAGCTTCTGATCCTCCTCCTTGGCGACGCTGTGGCCACTTGATCTCCACGTCGATGCCCAGAGATTTGGGCAGCTGTTCGAGCACCTCCACCAGTGTGGGGAATATGCGATGTTCGGTCCTCGGTTCGGCGTTGTGCGAGGGATACTCCACCACCTGGCCGGCGATCACAGAGAAGATGCGCAGCCTCTTCAGCAGACTGTAGTTGATGTCCTTGATCAGCACGTATTCCAGTTGTTCCGGTCGGCTGATCTGCTTGCCAGGCGGAGCAGTTCGCAGTCCAAAATCGTGATAAATCACGGGCACACCATCAGCAGTCAAGTGGACATCCAACTCGATCATGTCTGCGTGGTGTTCGTGGGCACTCAGAAAAGAGGCGATAGTGTTCTCCCTTTCCGGAGGAGCATTTGCAATGTAACTCTTGCCATTGCCACGATGTCCCACATCCAGATTGGGCCAGCTCTTGGGCCAGTAGTGAGCAAAGGTGTTCTTGAAGTCCAGCGGCGAGTAGCGATAGGGCTGCACCGAAACATAGGGCAACCTCAACCTGGCCAGGGTCTCATCCGCATCCTTGGCCGACTTGATGGGCAGGTGCAGCAATCCCTCGCTGCCAGTCAAATCCGAACTGACCAGATTGGCGCTGCCCAGGAGTTCGTTGGACATGCTATAGCACTCCAGGCGGAAGTGCTGCTGCATCATCTTCTCCAGCGGCAGCGTGATGTGAAAGATCACAATGTCGTTCTTGGTGTAGGGCACTCCGAAGGTGGGCTGCTGCTCCAGCTTACTCTTGCCGTACTCCTGCTTGGTGTACTCCACATGGAGGCCAGCGGTCTGCTCCACGGGCACAATCTTTAGCTGGACGTGCTGGGGGTCAAAGGTCTCGATGTCGTGAACTTGGAACATCTTCTCCCCATTGAACTTGAGCTGCAGGATGACCTCATTGTTGAGCCAGCCACGATGCACCTGCGGTTTCAGATCGGAATTGTCGGAGGTAATCCCGAAAACGTCCAACTGGCTGCACTGCAGCTCCGAGCAGGGTCCCAGGGACCTGGGCTTGAAGTGGGTCTCCCATCGACGAATCTGCTTGTAGCCAGATAGATCCTCCACGTAGACGAAGAAGCGGTACTCCAGCTGGCGACAGGATTGCATGGGCACGGTGGCCTGCCAGTTGAGATCGTCGAGCGATTCGAGGGCCACACTCCTGGACAACTGCCACTCGCCGAGGGCCTTCACATCGCCGGTGAGTCCCAGGCGCTCGTCGGCGGCCAAAGGAGCCTCCAGTCGCACATTGAACTCCCGCAGAGTGGGCTTACAGGCGGCGGAGGATCCTGGTTGCGGCTCCAGCTCGTTTCCGGTTCCATAGTTGATGGAGGCTCCATCCACTAGGGCGGCACACTGCAAGGACAAGGCAACAGCCAGGATTAGTACAGTCCGAGACATGGCCATCGGTTTGGAATGGAGAACGAAAGCCGACTGAAAGTCACTCGAGTGGTGGAGTCCGCTATTAAATACATGGCAACTTTTCTGCTGTTCGAGCGCGATTAGTCGATGACCCCTTGCGGAATCCGTTTCTCCCTGATAAAGTTTCTCTAGGCGGGGCGTCGACTGTCTGGTTTTTCTGCTCCCCACCCCGCCCCCCTCCACTCTTACATTGATTTCTCAAATTAGAATCGAAAACAAAAACGCGATAAGCACGCGTCTTTAGTCGCTGCCTAACCGCTCGTGACTTTCAGATGCGCAAACAAGATCACGTGTTTTACTGGGGCTCGACAAAAGATCAGCTCGCCCATTATCAACAAATCAGCTATTAAAAAAAATATATTCAAACGACTTGGTTAGTTTGTTTGCCTGCAATTAATTTGATTTATTCGTTATTTTCGCTAGGCCTGCCTTAGTCAAAATTCTATTTGCGTAATTACTTGTTTGGAAAGATTGTGGGCTATATTTAATTACTAGTACGTCTAAAGTTACATTCTATTGTCAATAAATTTGGAAAAGTTCGGAGGTTTCTACTATTTCCGATTTATTTAAATAAAAAGTAGCACAAAGTCAATAAGTTTTTATGTAAACATTTTAATAACCTCCTGTGAGTTAGGAATGCTCGTTAATCAATTGTGGCGAAACTAAGTTTACATGCAATTAATATTTCAAAATAATTGTTGGTTGTTCAAATATGAACCCAAACAAATATTTTCGCGTACTTTTTATGGTTTCGTGAAACATGAGAAAAAAAGATGGAATAAAAATCACAATAAAGTCTAGCTAATATTTATTTGATTTCATTGAATTTCTAAATTACTAAAAAGTGTAAATATTTACAGTGCCTTACATAAAACGTAAATAGAAGCACGAGTTACAAATCGATCGCTGTCAAGCGGTTTACCTTTGAGCGAAACGCGCGTAATCCGCGCGGAAGCAAATGTAATTGACGCGGTTTTACCCGCGACTGCGGTTTCTGGGGCTGCTGCCATGCTAGAGGATCGATGATGCAACGGCTGGCGATGGGCCTACACCTGCCGACAAGCCCCTGACAACTGGGTGCTAAGCACAATCGCAATGGGCAAAGTTTATGTAAGTAGAGCGGACCCATAAATTAACCGAAAACACGATTAACTTGTGTAGAATTTGTTTACCGAGCTGCCTAGATTTATAATCAGTGGGAAGAGACGGCAAACACCCACCTAACGGACCGACTGTTCAGATCTTTCTATAGGCATTTAGTTCCTCCGCCTTGGCAAAATTTCAACAATCATTCGGAGGCGGCAAAAGTCGCGTGTGCTGATGAAATTTTTAAATCTGTGCTATTTGGCCTTTATTATAGTTCGCAACAATGTTTTCCGCATTTCTTATTTTCCCTGACTTGCGTCAACCGGTGCGTTTTACGCGCGTTTTGCTAGCGATTTCTCGTTCTTGGCACAATTAGCATAGCCTTGTGATTTTGTGCGGGGGAGGAGTCCCCTCAGCAACACCTCAAAACATCGAAAAGCTCTACATTGAATTTTAATATTCAAGAACTTGGTTTTTTTACTTTTGATTTCTCAACTCTATGCTAATTTCCGATTGATATTCGAGCTTTGCCTCGATTTCTAAACACTTTTTCACGTGTTTTCAACGCAGGCGCTCTTTTTTCTCGCTGCCAATGCCCCTCTGCATATTCTACCATATGTTTTTTGTTTTGGGAAATTTCAGTCTCTAAAAGCTTTTGCATGTTTGTGGCGTTTTTACTTTTACCCACATCTTCGCGTGCGTTTTATTTATAGTAGAGGGGAAAAGCTTGTCCATGTTTTGCGTGGCTACAATTTCAGCTGAACTTGTTATCAGTCAGAGTAATATCGGTAATCATATATTAGCCTGATAGTTTATGGCAGGTACTTCAAAAATTAATGAGTTAACATTTAATCATACATGAGCCACTTGAGCGGGGGTCTTGCTTGAAAGCTTAACCTTATACAAAACTTGAAACCCGAGTGACTGAGTCACGTGAGGTAGAAACCTTTTGCAACATGTGGCATTCGGATTGTGGAGCTTACATGAAATAAAAAATAATATGAGTGGGAACTTTTGATAACTTTTCTGAGAAATGACATCATTAATATAAAATACTTGCGAGGACGGGACTTGAATTCATTTTTAACTATATGTATGAATAATATAAAACGAATAACAAGAAAAGATTATATTTGTATGCCTTTTTATAAACTTTTGTTTTTAATTCAATCCTACAAATTGGGTGTGTTATTGAATATTTCCCAAGCTGGCAACGATTTTCCCTTACAGGTACCTCGCCTAATAGCATTTTCCTTCCCCCTTTCACATATAGATTTTCATATCCCCACAAAATTGCATAAACAAAAATGCGCAAAAGACATGCAAATTTGCGATGACAACAGCACCGACCTTCAGACACCCCAAAAAGTCAAAGCGCAGACACGTGTAAATACAGTCGGAAAAATCAGAAACAAACATTTCCGGCACACTCTTATAGGATTTGGGTAATTACATTTTGCATATGATCATCCGGACTTTGGGGCTCCAAGGGGGTCAGCAGCATTGGGACCGACATTTTGCTTCTGTTTCGGCTTCTGGTTTTTGGGAATAGCACTAATAAGTTAGGTAGATGTAGGTTGCTTTGGTGCGAGGACCAACGAATATCAAGAAAATTCAACTTGTATCACAGTTAATTGTTTGCACTATGCGGCGTATGCGCAATGTTTAAGTTTCTTTTGCTAGGCAAGCATTTTGTTCTTGGGTTTTTTGGTTATTGTTTGCTATCTTATTTATTTGCTTGTAGTGTTTATTTTTTTATGCGCAGGCTCTTTGTTTGTATCCTTTGGTGGGGAACTAGGACGCTGTGGACGGTCCGTCGTCACAATTCGACGTTGCTGTCGCAACTGTTTCAGGCGATTTTGTTGTGCGCGCAATTTAAACGATTTCTTTTATCGAAAATGAGTGGCGGAGCTTTTGCGCCACTGCCCGTTTTCTTTGTGTGAGAGACGTAGTCGTAGTATCCGACGACGTTGGCGATTTGTTTTGGTTTTCAGCCCGGCGGTACAGTTGCGGCATGGGCTTTTGAGAAATGTTGTTGGCCTCTACCGACGGGCAACGGCAACAGCAACAGCAGCAGCAACGTCGAAACAGAAAACACAGAGAAACACACAAGATAATACAGAAAACACAAAGATTAATCGAATTAGCAATGCCCTCGATCGGCAAGAATTAGAACAGGAGAGCAAAGCAAATGTCCGATTAATCAGCGAAAAATAATCAACCACAAAAGTATGAATCAAAGTAAATGTTTATAAGTGAGCCTAATTAAGTGGCAACAACAGATCCATTAAAGATACCGATAAAAGCTAGATATTGAAATACTTATCAGTTATTACGTTTTTTGATAGGAATATAATAGTGCATATTTGTGACATACAAACTAATAAGAGATTCCCGGCACTTTATTAATCAATTTTTTTTAAAGAAATAAATCGTAGAAAATAGCATTAAACGGAAAGAGTTTAAACCTGAATAAGCTGCAACTAGTCAGTGAAGAGAGTAAAAATTTCTTTCTACAAATGAAAAAATGAAAGAAAATATTTTCTTTTGGAATTACAGATTTATATATTTTGGATGTATATAATAATAAGAACTAGCTGAATACCAAATTTCGCAACGGAAAGCTAAAGGCCTGCCGAGTTACATGAGGTTAGTCTTCATATATACCCTCTTTCCAAGGGTATCTTACTAAAACTCCCCATAAAACGCGTTATAGTTTTGTGTTGCTGAGCGAAACACGCAATCCAAAAGCTCACAGCCTGAGTGCAGAGGACAACAAGAGCAACTCATTGGGGCCGGCGCATATTGGAGACCCCAGACCACAGACCACAGACCCAGACCATCCCCCATATACTATCCACTGTGCCACGAGGCTCATTTGCTCCGTCGAGAAAACGTGTTGGTCGTGTGCAGCTGTCGACAGTGATGGTGTTACGCACGTGAAATTGTTTTCTGTCTGTTTTGTGGGGCGTAGTCGTTGCCGGGCCCCTCGTCACGGATTCTCGTCCACCGATGCTGAGTCGGTTCCGCTGAAAAGCTCTCTCTCTGGTAGTACGCCTATGTATATCTCTTTATGGGGGAACCGGTTTCCGTCGGTTGTCGATTTGCTGTTTTCCTCGTTGTTTGTTTACACCGCACAATACTTTATTTCAACGTTTGATAAGACAAGAACCGTTCAAGCTTTTTGGCTTCGAAAACATAGCTCTCCGGTCAAGGTCTTGGGTACCCCATTTCGATCGTAATCGCATATTTTTTTGATGTTGCTAGGCGCAGTTTTCATGCCTTACAATAAAGTATAAATATATACACACGGAATAAACAAATATACATTTGTTCTAGGTTTTCTTTGTTTAAATGTAGCCTTATTTCACGTGGGTTTTAATTTATGTATAATATTTGCCTTCTTATTGACTCCTCATGCTACAAATTTGACTTTTCATTATTTTTTTTATTATTATTTTGCTGTGTAGACAAATCGCCCCATTGGTTCCAAAGTCCAATTCAGTTGTTATTCTTGTTTATTTGTTTTAATGTTTACGAAAACTTATTTTTTGCTGGTATAGATACATATGCTGTTGACACGCCCCCCTCTTGGAAATCAAGTCGCATTAATATTCTGAACTATCCCAATTTGTTTTTCTCTGTTTTCGTTTAACATGATTCCGGTCACGTTTGCTTGTTGTTTTCTTTTACAGAACAATAATATTATTGTGATATTTTATATGGGATTTTTGTTTACGGCTACAGCTGCATGTTGTTTACTTCACCCAACCTTTTCTCGTTTAGAACATGTAATCGGAAAAGCAATTCAGAGCGAATGCGAATATTTACCTTAGATAAGCTTTTGGTAAACACTTTTCATTGAGCAATAACTGAGCGATCGACCGCTCTATACCTTTTAAATATATACATATATCAACTTACAGCTTTGAGTAAACTGTTTTCCATTGATGTATCTATTTAAGAAACTTTGACTAAAGAGCAAGTTATGGATGATCGACTAAATAAACTAAATTTTAAGAAACTAATTCCTTTTATGCAAGCAATCAAACCATATAAATTCATCAATTAAAATTAGTATTCAATCATTTAATACAAAACCAGTTGATTGTTCAATATCAACGTTATTCTTAACTACTTTTTCTACTTTTAAACAATACAACATATGTTTAGGCTATGAAATAATCGCTGAGCGACTCGTACCTGGTCGGACATGATCAATGATCGTTGTCAGGGTCGTTGTTTACCGATTTGCCCTTGAGGGGGCGTTGGACTTGGTCGCGGTTGCTACACCTTTACGATGCTATACAATACTTCCACCGTTCAGCGATTCTTATCACACACACAGACGCCTCCAGAGGCCGGAATAAAACTGACGGGGATATGGATTTTCGAGCTTAACGGAGCTTCCAAGTAAGAGTCTTCTACTAAATAGGAAGTTGCTTTTGTCACGTCTGCCGCTTCCTCCCCGTAGTACAGCGTAAATACAATTAAATCAATTTAAAACAATAAAAGTCGTAGCAGCAGCCGCCACAAAGAGAGACAATGATAGATGCCAGTATTACTGTAGATAAGGCGTAATGAGGCTCTGGGTGTTTGGCGTCTGAGCGATTCGCGGTTGACCTGAAAGATTCAGAGATTATAGAAATGTGCAAGAGATTGCAGCTAAGCAAACTGTACTCGAAGCAACAAACTCGTCATGTCCGGGATGCGGGGTTCTCCTCACTTGTAGCTTCTGCGGTCGCCTCAGACTTTGACTCCGTAGTCTCCTCCTCTGGCGGCGTTGTCTTCTCATCCGCCTTTGTCTTAGGCTCACGCTCGAACAGAATGACCAGCTCGGTGTGCATGGTGTGGGGAAACATGTCAACGCCCAGCGCGTACTTCGGATAGAACGGTTCTCCCTTATATTGCTTAGACTCCGGCCTGGCCAGCTCAATGAAGTTCCGCTTGGCACTGTGCGGATTGCAGGAGACGTAGACCAGCCGTTTGATGGCATCTGCCGAACGGATTGCGGCTATCGAACGGTGATCTGTAAGGGGGAAAGTAAAAACAAATTATACGGCTATTTATATAGTTCTAGGTTAACTTACTTAATACTTAAATCTTTATCTTCTTGAATAAATTATAATAATCCTTAGCAACTTTTGAAAGTTATGATTTAAGTATTTATTATACTTACGTAGTCCAGCTCGAGGAGGGTCAACCACCGCAATAAGATCCATAGGTTTTCCCGGTTCCTGTTCGTAAAGAGCTTCGCGCACCATGCTCTTAATAAAATCATCTGCATTACCGGTAAAGAACTTGCAGTTCTTAATGCCATTTGCCTCCGCATTAAACTGAGCATCCTTAATGGCGTCGGGAACGATTTCCACGCCCAGAACTTTCTTGCAATGCTTGGCAAAAGCCATTGTAATGGTTCCAGTGCCGCAGCAGATGTCCAACATGGTGGTGTCTTTCGTAGGAGCAGCCAAGTCGATTGCCTTTTGATACAATACATTTGCTCCTTCTGTGTTGATTTGGAAAAAGGCCAAAGGGCTAATTCGAAACTGGAGACCATGGATGGTATCGGTTATGTGAGTGCTGCCCGAGATGTGTTCCACCGGATTAATCATCTGTCCTGCTTCGCGATGTTTGACATCTTGGTAATACAAACAGGTGCATTTGTATGTGGCACCCTTTTCCGCCTCTTCGTAGAATAACTTCAGTTCCTGTTTCAGTTCCGTTTGCTCGTCCTCACTTAAGTTCGAGGAGTATATGCCCGCTACCAGCATGAGTTCACCAGTGGCACTGGAGCAGCGCACCATCAACTGCCGGAAGTGACCCACGTTTCCGTCTGGATTGAAGGGCAGGAACTTGGACTTCCTCACGAGATCTTGGAAACTGCGAGCCGCCCATTTTGCCTGTTCTGGTAGGTGTGGCAAATCCTGGACTTCGGCCACCTCCACAGAACCATCGCTATAACAGCCCAATCTAAAGCCTACGACAACCTCTCCTGCGGCGTTCTTGCCCACAGTAAACTCGTTTTTGTTTCTATATCCATTTACGGTGGGTGAGGGCAAAACTTCTTCGAATTTGAAATTATCCAGATGCGGTTTGGCCCGCGGATTGAGGCGCCTGAGTTCCTGGGTGTATTTAGCAAGGAGTGACGACATTTCTTCGGATTTCTGTTTCAGTTGCTGGTCGTAGGGTATGTGTGCCAAGGGACAGGTGGCTTCTACGGCTGTACGTTGCTTTTTGGGCTTCTTTTCCGACTCCTGATCTTCGGCAGCTCGCCTTTTCTGGAGCGGATCAGCGGAGGCTTTGGCGGCCTGGGCTTTCAGGACCTTTCCTTTCCATTTGTAGCCATGAAGGGTCTCCAAAGCCCTCTGTTGATCCTCCTGAGTGCGAAAGCAAACGAAGGCAAATTCTTTTCGCGTCGGGGACTTGATTTTGGTCACATCCAATTTAAGGGTGACCCTCAATAGCTTCTTGAACTCCTAAAATAGAATTTGATGTTTTAATACGGTGTCATTGGGACTTTATGTATTTACCTACCCCAATACCGAAATAGCCCAGGTTTTTCACTTCTATTTTGAATATTTCCGAGGTAAATTCATTCCGCTCCAAGTATGCGAACTCCTCGCCGGCTTTTTCTGTTTCCTCCTTAGCGTTTTCGGCTGCAGTTTCTTGAGTTTCCTTTGCATCTTCCTGGTTTTCCGTGGCTTCTATTGGTTTATCAACTATCTCAGCTGGTAGTTCCGTGCTTAAAGACTCCATTTCTTTCAAATAATTCGATTTATAGGTAAATTCAAAAACACGTGAAAAGCCGAATCAAACAGATGGATTAGAGGTGCGAAAACACCATTGCGATGTCATCGATGTTTTCAATATATCGGTTCACAGGGCCAGACAATTGCTGGTTGACTTAAAACTTGTAGAAGTGCAAGCTGTTAGATTGTGATTGCTACAGCACAATTGTGGCGCGAATTTAAACGCTGTTAATAAATCCCAAAATAAATCAACTAGTTGTAAGAAACAATAGCAAAAATGTAAATTGATTTAATTTTCAACTTGTTCAAAGCGCTCCAGGGCAGAATTTAAGATGACTTGACGTTCAAGCAGCAACTGTTGCATTTCCGGTTCGTGTTTCATGATGTTTCGGATTTCTCTGAGCATTTCCGCAGCGTTTCTCAGCTTTTCCTCACACTCAACTGGGTCTTCCGAGCGTAGAGCTTGCGCCACCAGAGCTTCTTCCATATCTATGAGTAGATTTCCTCGGAAAATACTCCAACCACCATCGAAAATGTTGGCCAGTTCCAAGAGTTCCTCACAAAGTTGCACTTTTCTTGTCAGCGTTTCTTCAGAGAGTTCTAAAACAGGATTTACTATTAAATATTTCCTAAAGGAATAGCAGGTTAAATTATATTACCCTCCATGGCAAATCCTGGAGCACTTCCATATAATTGGGTAAGAGCGTATTTAGCTTGAAGAATATGGGTATTGGTGTCATGGAGATCAGCACGATGACGATAAATGAATTCTTCGAGAGCTACGGGCGTTGTTTTGTCCAACGATTCCAATTCCAACTGAAGCTCCGCATCCGAAGTGACCACCTCTTTTGCTGACCTTTTAAGATTACAAAGCTGACACTTCCAAACGGCAGAATTTTGAAGGGGATTCAGGGAGATTATCTGAGAAACAAATAATTCATTAAAGTCAAAAGCTCTCTTCAAAATAAGATCATAAAAAAAAGTCATTAGGCTCTTTTGTTCTAACTTAGCCAAAATCATCATTATTTTGACCCATTGACTTGTTTAACGTTCATCCGAAATTGGACGTCTAGAGTCCATAATTTTACCAAATTTAATCCGATTCCAAAGTGGCATACCTCTAAAGACTCGTGATTCGATTCTCTAAAAATCTGCATTCAAAATTTTTAATTTGACGCTGATCAAATTTTTGACCCATTTTCATGTTAGTTATTTCTAATTTTCCGATGTTTTGTAATAATCAAAATTTGACTTCTAGAGTCCATAACTTTACCAAATTTAATCCGATTCCAAAGTGACATACCTCTAAAGACTCGTGATTCGATTCTCTAAAAATCTGCATTCAAAATTTTCAAGTTAACGATGGTCACTTTTTTGAACCATTTTCATGGTAGTTATCATACCCTTGCAGAGGGTATTAATTTTTCAGTCAAAAGTTTGCGAAGCAGTGAAAATGTGCTCTCCAAATAATTTTCGGTTTGACTGTAGAAGTACTGAAGTTGGCTTTCGTTCTTGTTTTAAAATCGATTCAAATTTGAAGCAAATGTTTTACCCAATTACTGGTCTGATTATGTCCACTCACCTTTCCTGCCTTGCATTTCAGACACGTCTGGGCCCCTGCAAAGCTGCCCAGCTCCTCGGGATCCTGACACCTGGCGCAGGAGCAGTCGAAGCACTTGGCCTGCCTCAAGTGCACCCTGCGCTGGATGGTGCTCCTCAGTGGCTGGGTGTAGGAAATACTCAGGATCTCGCCCTTGGCTATCTTCCTCTTGGCCAGGAACACGATGTTCATGTCGTCATCGAAGCGATGCCTCATATTGGGCACACAATCGTGCGAGATCATTGCGGCTTCGGGAAATAGGGCTCGCACCTTTCTCCTCTCCCTAGGTTGCCTCACTTCGAAGGTGTTTGTATCCAGAATAGCAGCAATCCGTAGGATGTCAATCTCGGACCAATCCCTTAGGCCCAATACGGTTTTTATAAATGTTATTAGATTGGCACGAAGTACTTGATACAAAGGCGTCTCCAATCGCTCCTTGAGGTGATCTTCCAGGGAGTAAAGCTTAAGAAAAGCATCGGGATTCTTGGTCTTGAGTTGCATGCAACGAAGCAGCATGATCACACAGTAAGCGGACTCCTTTCGCTCCTCCTCTCCAGGAGTATAGTTTATTTTCGATTGGAAATTGCTGCCCGACATGAGTTGGCACTCGGCCTTGTGATGCGGCGAGTCCTCGCACTCCCTTCCACACAAAGGCCAACTGCAAGAGCTGCATTTATAGTAGTTTCCTTGGGGTTTTTCCGGAGCCAACAGATTCCTGTGGCAGCCGAGGCACAGTGGAGCTGAGGCCACTTTTGGACCCACGACCAGGGGTGCCTCCTTCAAGATTTGCTCTCCGATTTTAATATCCCTCGTGGCCTTTAGATGCCTGCCCAAGATTTCGTTGGTGGCTATTTCGAAGCACTTGCATTCCGATCTGTGACCTTTCTTCCAATGCTCCTTCTGGTGCTCCCGACTGCAATAGACCACATTCCTGCAGGCGGCGCACAGCTGCGAGGCTTTGGCCTGGCACAAGGCACAGGATGTCAGCGAAGTGGAGGACATCGATAGCAATCCCCGCCAGCAGTCAGATAATCTCCTATATATCTCCTATATATCTCCAACTAATCTCCTCGTGTTTGCGTAATGCCCCGCGGTTGAAAATTCACTGACGAGATGGCTAAACAATTTTCAGTGCTCTGTGTTCGGACTCTACTCGCGATCTGATTGCGAGAACATTTTCCTTTGTGTCTCCGTCTGCTGCCAAAAAATAAACGCTCGAATGGATTCGGATCTCTCTCCAAATCCACATCTCTGTCACATGGCGCACGACTATTTAAAATTAGAACTCTGCGTCGCGTTGCCCAAAAGCTAAGACAATGTTCAATTTGTAGGCAGCCGGCAATATTAATTCATTCGAAATGTTTATCTGCCTTCACATGAGAGAGCGAGTATAAATGCAACAGGCAGGTTTTTAATGCTGAATAATAATTGCTGTCCGCTCAAAAGATATGTTAAACACATACTTAGATTGATTAGGAAGAATACGGATATTTATCAAAAAATTTAAAAAAATATATTGAAAGATCGCTATTTTATTACAATTCAGACGCCTTAGCTGTTGAGAATGTTCCATGACCGGAAATTTTCGAATCAAATATAATATAATATTTAAAATTAAAGTACTCTGCTTTTTTGTAAACCATTTTTAGTGTAAAAAGGATAACTTGTATCCGGCAATGAGGTGTTTCTGATTCTATATAGTATAAAGATAATTCAGTGTTCTCCTGTATTCTGAGTTTCAGGAACGAAGTCGCACTTCTGTGTAATAGGTCAGGTATCAAAAAGTTTTGACCCTCAGATAGCCACTTCTTTCTCTTTTTACTGGTTGAGTTAGTCAAATTCATAGTAAGATATAGCAATCCGTTTGGTATTCTTCACACTTCTTTATTATATTTGAAAGTTTTTCCAAATGACTACTTACCAATGAAATTAAAAGCAGATTTAACTTCCCATTGCCTTTCACTCCCTGTTATGCATAAAAACTCATCTAATAAATTTCATTTTAGCAATTCAATAATTTATTTAGTATTTCTCATAAATTGTCTATATATATTTATATATATTTTTTTATTCATATGCAATTAATTAATATATTGTTTAATTGGAAATCAGTCTTTTTTATGTAAATAAGAGTTAAATGCATTTTGTTTTTGTGCTTGTTTCGTTTGATTTGATTGATTGATAGATTGGATTTGGATTGGTAACTCGATTGGTTCGACAGATGATGAAATTAAAAACAAGTTTAAAAATAATAATTGAACTACAATTTGTGCGTTTTGTGGTTGTTGTTGTGGTTTAGTAGTTAGTTGCATTGTTGCTTGTCTTGTTTTGGGGTTAGTGTTAGAAACTTAAAGTAGTATTTAAATTAATTGGCTTAGATAACATAAATATACACGATCGATAGTTAACTTAAAACTGGCGGCCATAGTTCCACAGTAATCATTTGTTGCTCTCTCTTTCTGTCTAAACACTTAAAAAGCGGCGCATAAAATTTTATATCATAGACAACAATTTGATTTAATAATTTGCACTAAACAATAGTTTTTCTCCCATTTAGTTTACACGTACACACACACAGCAACACAAAATGCTTGGGGCAACATGTTGCCAGCGTCCTCTGTTTCTGATAGTGATATGTGTGGCTGCAACATGTTGCTAGTTGATTAGATTAGCGAAGCGGCGATTCGATTGTTGCTAAGGCAAAAGGCGCATAATTTTTGTTTAATTTTCGATTTCTGCGTAAGCTGTAGAGGCTACATATATGACATATTTGCTGGGTTCAGCGGATCTCACAATGGGTTAAATCTTCAATGAGTTCAATGACCTCATCATGTTTGGTTCTGAAGATTTTCCCAAGCGTTGTTGGAGTAGTGAGTTTGGAATTGGTTAAATACTTTTTCTATAAGTTTTTACATATTCAGGAACTTTAAACTATTGTTTGATTACTTTTTTTATCTAATTTAAATTAGTTTGTTGGTTCTACATTACTTAAACGTTCAAAAGCATGGTCAAAATAAATATGCCCCCAGTTGATAGCATATTTTCGAACTGCAGTGGTCTCTCAAATATATAATAAAAATTGTAATTTCTTTTTATCAACAATACCTACACTTCAAATATATTTTTTACTAATCTAAATAATTTCTGATTATTCTGTTCCAAACTCACTCCTCCAACTCCACTTCTTGTGGCCCTAATATCGTTTTTCGAATATTTTCTTGGTTTTAAGTTGATGAATGCTTACTTTAAATTACAATTCGCGCTACATTAATCAATAGACTGAAACATAAGCAACATTCAAGTAGTGTATAGTGGTTCTCCCTCGACTTAGCCTAGACATCCAGCTGCTCCTTGAAGTGGTGATAGTGGTGGTGGATGTGCTCGTGCACATAGCGGTGGATCATGGAGCTGGAGGCACTGGTGTCCAGTTCCACCTCCACCTGCTCGCCCGACTCCTCCGCCTCCAGATTCGATTTGCCACCATTGGTGACCGCCTCGGCCACAGCCTCGCCCACATCGTCGTTCAGATCGATGAGGGTATCGGTGCTGACCACCTTGCTCGGTGTGCTGGTCAACTGCGGACTGGGGGGCAGATCCTCCTCCTCGCTGGCCAGCAGGTGGGCACACTCCAAGGCATCGCCATAGATCTTCGAGCCCGCCGAACTTGAGTTCGAGGTCGGAGGTCGCGTCTCCATTTTGGACGAGTCCTTGTGATGATCCTGGAGCTTCTGATGTTGCTGCTTGTGCCGCTGGCGCCGCTGCTCCCGATCCTTCTGCTCCAGCTGCTCACTCAACTTGGCATAGATCAGATTGCCATAGTTCTTGTACTCCTTCTTCTGGCTCTTCTTCGGTATCGGCTGAACGGTGGCCACATTACTGGGCGTGGCCGGGGGCGAGTGGGCGGCTGCCCCGCCCCCACAGATGGTGGCATGCAGGAAGGAATCGTAGCCACATAGATTCAGCTTGTTGTGGGCCGTATTGTGCGTTTGCTGGGCGGCCAAAACGGCCGGATTAATGGCCAACTGTTGGTGGTAGATGGGTATGTGTGGTTGCGGATGCTCGTGGTGGTTGTTGCTGTGATGCTGCTGCTGCTGCGGCAAGTTTTGAGTCTGATTTGGCTGCAACCGTTGGATTTCCTGAGTAGGTTCTTGCTGGTGACTCATTCCTGCAAGAAAAATGAAGTAGAATGATTAGATGAAATGCCAATTGCAGGTCTATAAGTTCAGTTGTACTACTTTTTTTAAGAAGGTTATAAACTTTTAAAATATTTACAAAATATTTTATAACATATCATTGATCTACTTATCCACTGATCAATACATATTGGCAATCTCGTAACCAAAAAATGTGGGAATAACTAGGCTATCAGTTTATATGTTAATATAATAATTAAGTCGTAACCAATTTAGTGTATAGTATAAAAACGTAAAGTGTATAAGTCTTGAAAACAGTAATTCTTGTAACTAATACTCACCAATCATTTGCTGCGATTGTTGTTGTTGCGCGGTATAATTGTGGCTAAGCTGCTCTGCCGGTTGCCGCACCGGACTGTGGTTGGCAATTAATGTGGGTATTTTCGAGCCCGTATTGCAGCGTTGGCGTTGCTGTTGTTGTTGTTGTTGTTGTGCTGCCGGTTGCCGTATGGGACTCACATTGGCTTGGGGTTTTCTGAAAAATTGCAAGATATGCCCTTAATTAGTAGCTATTTCTTGGGTTTTTGAAGGGATTTTGTAAGTGAATTTTAGGATTTTAGGAGTCGCCATAAACTTAAAAATCCAAAATTGGAAATTATAAACGATGAGAACTGAACAAAATATTAATTGAATAAGTAAAAAATATATATATAAATGTCTAAGGACATGCGTATGTCGGAGTGATAATTCTTTGTAGGCTAGTTTACTGTTGAAGGAGAAAGTAAGCAGAGTATGAAGCATGGACCTACTTTTTTTTCGCAGATTACCCTAAAGACAATGGAGAGCTGCACAAAAACATTTGATTAATTTAATATAAAATGAACAAAATAATATTATTTTAACAGCTTTGATTCAGCAAATTTAACTCTTGTTGTACATTGATTTTGTAAAACAAATATGGAATGTAAAAGACATTTAATTTTATTTGTAAGTTAATACATTTGAAAAGAAAACGATTTTCACCTATTGCAATTAATTAAAAATAAGTTCAAAATAAATTTAAGTAAATAAACTGTGTGAGCTTTTTCTCTTTTCTATAGGTAAATAACTTTTGGCCTAGTCCTATTTTCCGCAGTGGTTTTTGGAAATCGTGCTGATTTCCCTCTTGCAATTGTTTCTTGGGAAATGCCAAACCGCTGCCATGAACATTTGGTTGACTTTTCTAGCCTCATTTCAGTTCACTCCGCTCATAATCATTGTGGACTTGGGGTGGATTCATCGCGAATTGGCTTACCCATTCAGCTGAAAACACAGGCGATTCTTCTCCATGCTCTCCCTGATGATGCTAATTAAATCGTTGCGATTGAGCGCAGATTTCCAGCACTCGGCCGATTTCCGTTGCTGCTGATGCTGCTGGTGGTTGAGGGATTGGGGGCGTGGCTGGCGCAGCTGCACACCATCGAGCATCAGATCGCCTCCGCCACCACCCCCTGTGGTGGTGGTGACCCCGATGCGCTCTTGTGGTTCAGCGGTTGGGGGGGCGTGGCAGCTGCCTGACCCACCGGTGGTTGCTGTGGCTGCAGATGGCGATTCTGCCAGCCGGAATCGTTGCCCACTGAGAGGCTACGCTGCCGCGTTTCGAGGCAATGATCCTGATACTGATTGATGACGATGAGTTAACCAAAAATAAAAGGAAATAAAATTAAATTATAATAACGAAAACAATAAAGCATGTATGTTGAACGCATGTGGTAAGCAACAAAAGTGTATAACAAAAACAAAAGGCGACATATTTTCTTGGGGACTCGGTTCAGTTTTGGAACTGCTGCCAGGACAATAATGCTGTTTACTATTGAAGTTTTTTGGGCATTTTAAATTTTAACTAAAAACTTTTTATAATGCCTAATACTTCCTTTCTGATCTAAACTAATGCATGATTAATCACAGCTTAAAGAAAGCTATTCATTTGCTGTAAGTATATTGACGTTTGTTCTCAGACCGAAAATCAATTGAGTTAACTTAAGCCAAACATTTCAATAAGGGTATTTTTGGCATCAAATAAAGGCAAATATAATATAAATGATTAATACCAATATAAAATAATAGTAACATTGGAATATGAATTTATATAATATATGTTCAAATAGACTATACAACTAGTGTCCTTTCTCTTTCTCTTTTACTTTAATTTTTTTTCATTCGAGTATTAATAATTGATTTTAGTTTAATTGTATTAAATGTCCCTACTTATTTATTTATACCATGCATAATTTTACTTGTGTTAAGCTGGCAGCAGTTTTAGTTTCGATTAATATTTGATTTGTTTTTGCCATGATTTCGTTTGTTACCTTGTGCCTACCTTTTGTTTGCGCGCCCTCCGCAACATCTTGACCCGCTGGGTGGCCTGCTTCATGTAGATGTCCTGCTGCCGGAGTTGGTGGTGCTGGTGGTGCTGGCGGTGCGAGGGGCAGTCGACCTGGTCGCTCTCCGGCTTGCAGCACTTGAGATTCAGCATATTCTCGTAGGTATTGTGGCCATTGTCCGGCGTGTTCTGCTCCGCGCAGCACTGCTCCGCCCGGGAATTGTTCTTCTGGCTGTGGTGGTACCTGGTGGCCTGCGTGGCCTGGTGGTGATGGCTCCTTCCGCCCGTTTTGGCCCCACTTCCGCTGGGCTGGTCGGTGGTGGCCGGAGCTGTGGTCGTGCCCTTCTCTTTTTCGCTGTTGCTGTCATCGTCCTCGTCATCGGACTTAATCAGTTTGCGCGGTCGATAGCGATGCTGGCGGCGGTTGCCGGCGGATGTCGTTAGCGCCGTCGCTCCGGAGGACAACACTCCTGCCCCAACCAAGGGTTTCGACATGGCCGCCAGGCCCGTGGGCAACTTCTTCAGTTTGCTGGCATGGCTGCTGCTGAATCCGGTTGGCACTGAAACGGGAACACCGGGCACCGGCACCACTGGCTGCGATTTCGATTTGCCCTCGGGACTGACGGTGAGCCGCACGTTGATTGTCTTGCTGCCGCAGTGGGGCACCACCACCGACTTGCCAATGGACTCGTATATGGTGTACACAATGCCCACGATGTCGTCCTTTGTTATCTTGCCATGGTGCCCGTCCAAATCGTAGAACGTGAACGAGAACTGCAGCGGCTGCGATGACTTGCCACCCTCCACGGACACGTCGCAGGTGAATTCCTGTTTTTGAGGGCGAACAAAACAAATGCGGAATGAGTGATGGCTTCAGACTGAATTTGATTTAAATCAAGTGAGCAAATAAACATTCTTCAGTAATTGAGTTTTCCCAAGGGCTGTTCGAGAGTTGCTCTAACATTGCATTAATTAAAGGCCCTTGTTCAATATGAATTTCTAACTAACACCTTTAAACTCACTTCAGTAAGTCTACAATTCACTTGTATTTTTGATAATTTATTTAGAAACATATTCCTTTATTACATTTAATTCAGGACATAAAAGATGCCTTAGTTAAATAACACTTTTTATGTCTTTGTGTAAAAGAATAATATTTAATATTTGTTTAAAAAAGCTACAAATATGCTGCAAATATATCCTTTAGATGTTTGGCAAAACTAAACTTTAGATTAATTTGCTGAGATCTTTCAAAAATAACAAGAAAAATTTAATAGCTAATTGGTGTTCAAAGATAAACATTTAAAAAAATCTGTTTAATTACCTAAACAAATGTGTGAGCAATTTTTATAAATGGATGCTTTGTTTAGAGGGCTTAACAGAAAACTTTTAATGTGTTATAAATTGCCATGGCAACAAATTTAATCACCTCTCCAACACCTCAGACAAATAAATACCTTTTCGTTTAGAATTTTGCACAAACTCAAAGCCTCAAATTCCACCGAACTCAAATGTGTTGCAAAACTTTTGCCCACAAATTTTTGAGAACTACATAAGCCTGATGCACTGGCAAACTAACTAAAAATAAACAAAAAATCCTGCTAATAAACTTTGGAGCATAAAAATTGCACAGCAAATTTCATGTCCGACCCGAAAGTATGCAACACTTTTTGCAAATGCAACATGTTGGTTGGGATCCCAAATTGGGATGCTGATGCTAGATGGCAAAAAAGGAGCAGAAACTAAAGCCACAGCCAGTCGCCACTGAAAATAAACAATAGGGAGCATCCCAAGACCACTAAAACCAGTCGAAAATTGTGGCCATAATTTGACTAAATATTTAATTTGCTCCTGCAGAAGCAGCCACGTCAACTCTGCAGGAGGCAAAAACTGAAGGGGGGAAGAGGGGAGGAGGAACCATTACCATTGATAAAGTGGCAGAAAGCAGCATCCCGGTGCTAAATTTCCACTCCGCACTCGGCTGCCCCACAGTCGCATACAAATAAATATAATTTCCTTTGCTGCCGCTGCTTGGCTTGTAGATTTTTAATTGCCCCTGAGTGCTTTTCGTGTTTGTTGTTTTGCTGTTAATGGTTTTTATTGAATTTTAATGTTTTGATATTTTTTTGGCGAAACGGGCACAAGTAGAAACAGCGTCCGAAACAGAGAATGCTCGTCCGCAGTGGGTGGTAATGGAAAATTGCCGGCGCCCTTGTGTTAATGAAATATTTTTTCCCACTTTTTTCGATTTTATATTCGTGGATGGGTGGGTGGTTGGTTGGTTGGAACAACAAATGAAGCCGAAACTGAGGCCATTGCGGTGAGCGAGCAGCCATTGAAATTTTAATTAAAAGCACATTGAAATGTTGAGTTTATGGGCGATGTGTGATGCGCCCAGTGGGCCATGAATTATGGCCAGGAATCGTGGCCAGGGGGTGGCTAACACGGTAATAACAGCCAGCGAGTTGATTAAACTTGACCAAACACCTGGCTGGGGGTCAGAAAAGCCAGCAAATGGAAAACCAAACATCATTTAATTTATCACCTTGTATTTATAAGCAAAGCGATTGTTGGCTAATTAAAAAGAATCGGGCATACGGGCTATGAATACTCTAGGATCTTGGTAAACAAAAAGTATAGAAATATTCCAAATTTAAAATCCTAGCTACTATGTATTTGTTAGTGATTTAATTTATACTTCTTTGCATAATAAAAAAGTGACTATTCAATATTTTTTAATAATGAAATAAACAAAATTTTACAATAAATGTTTTTTGAAATCCAAATTGTATATTTCCATTAATTCACAGGACTTAACATTGTTGCTCACATTACTATCTCAGTAGCTATTAAACTGAACCTTTTCCATTTAATTAAATCATAATTTCTGCTAAATGTAATTTAAATTGGCTTGGTGTCAAAACAACTATTAATAATATTAAATTGCAAGCTTCGCCCAAACTCTGAACTACCCTTTGAAAGTGCACAGCAATTAATGGCTCCATAAACATTTGTGTTATGAAACGATGAAAACAAGACAAATCCAATCCATAAATTCATTAATAAATGAATGCAAATTGAAATCGGAATGGACTATTAAAACGAATGTTTATGGGGGCTTGGAAGATGGGATTTGATTGTGCCCATTTGGACTGTGGGATAATTCATAGGGAACCGACAACCGGCAAGGAGCACTGGTAATTTGGGTAATAATTCAACTCACCTCCAGCCGGATGCGCTCCTCTTTGTGGTGGTGCAGGTGACGTGAGTGGGCGTGGTTGCCGTGTGGCTGTTGCATGGAGGCAGCGGCAGCGGCATCCACCACATCCTCATCCTGGGGCAGGTGGTGCTGCATATTCGAGTATTTGCCGTGCCTTCCGTTGGAAGTGCTGCTGATTCGCAGATGTTTGCTGTGGCTGCCACCGCTGCTCATGTCCTGCGGATGTGCCGACTGCGAAGGATTGTGATTGTGCCGGCCGGAGTGGTGGTGGGGATTCGTCTGGTGGTGCTGGTGCGACGAGGACTGATGCTTGCTGGCCGCACTGGAGGCATTGCCCGGCGGCGTGGTGATTATATTCACCATCGGCGATCGCAGTTGGATATTGTTGTCACGTTCGCTGACCAGTAGCAAATCGGGCGGGGCACTGCAGGAGGAGGAGGCGCGCACCTGGTGGTACATCAGCTCTTCGGAGTCTGTGGTGCATTCCTGGACTGCAACGATAGGAAGGGTGGTGGGACACTTTTAATTAAAATGCAAAGTGGCATGAAATTGGCGGCATAAAAACACTGCCCGAACCTGCGCCCCTTTGGGCCATCTAATCCCCCTGGCTTTTGTCGGCTTTTCTGTGCACTGTGGCAAAGTGTCTCCCATATTTTTCAAATTAAAATAAGTAGCTATCATTTGTCACACAGTTAAAAAAAATACACTTAAAAGTACACATACAAAATATTGTATTGCCATTAGCACATTATTGTGCTCCAATTTAGTTAATAATTAAACAGTTTTAACACATCATTTAAGATAAATCTATTTTTTTAACTCATCAAAAGTAATTAAGAACAAATGACTAGCAAATAATACTTTATTTCCCTCCAATTTCTACAAAAAAAAAATATAGTTTAAGTCACATTTATAATAGTACACATACAAGAAATTAATCTTTAATCTAATTTTATAACAGTTTTATGTGTTCATGCAATCAAAGCTAACATACAACAAATTATGCTTTTCCGTATTCAAAAGTTTAATTAAAAAATGTGCCAACTTTGTATTTAACCAATAAAATGGTATTGGATGAAATCAGTATGAAGTAATAAATTAGTCTTTTAAAATAGCAACAATCCCATTTAAGTTGTTTTGAAAGTACAAAAATCGAGTGTATATTTTCTTTCTCTGTGCGCCTTTCGCTGGCGTCTTGCAATTTATTTGCAATTTGCACAAAGCGCATTACAACAGCACAAAAAGTTTATGCCCCAACGCCAACACAAAGCGATGGCGACCAGGCGGCCAATGCCGATCTCTTTGAATCCCCTCGAGAAACTTGAAAGGCGACTGCTCGGAGAGCATTCCTAATTAATGACGTCGTCGTCGGCGGCGGCACTCAAAAGTTTTCTTTTCGTTTCGTTTCGGCATTTGTTTTTTGTGTTTGGATGGTTTCGGTTTTGTTTCTTTCATTTTTTAATTGAAATGGCTGCAGTATTATCTGGTCGGCTGTGGCCACACCGAGCGCTGAAAGCTGAGCCGGCAGATGAGCAGTCTACGGTCTGCGGTCGCTTTTGGCCCATTCATTACTCATTACTCATACGACGCGTGAACCGCACCAAAGCGAAGCGAATTCGACTGCAGCGACTGCACTGTTTGATGTTCAGTAATAATGCGAAAGCGGAATGTGTAATTTAAATATTTAGCGCATTTCAAATCTTTAAGAATTTACAGAAATGTTCTTATTTAACTTCTCTTCGGATGGAAAAATACAAATTATCAGAATAATTTGAATAAGCATATCGATGTGCCCTGTTTAATTTGTTATTGTTGGAACATAAATTACTGGGAATTATTTTATTGAAAACTGGTAGTCAATACTCTGTTTAATACAAGTGGCCAAATACATAAATCTATCTGTCAATAAAGCTCAATTAATTTACTCATTCATTGAGCACTTTATAGATAACACCATTAGGAGGGATACTTAATTACCTTAATCCCTATGAATATTTGCTACATAATTATTTGACTTCGTCTTTTATTTTATTTATTTTATTTATTTTATAACATTTTCATCTTTTCATATCCTTTTTCTTAGAAAGTCCCAGTTTCCACACAGCACAATAAAATTAATTTAAGAAGTGAATCACCCTGCTGCAGCACAATCCCCACTTGACACATAAATCCCATTCACACTAGCCTCATTCGAAGCCCTTTTCTGGAGTAATTCACTCCAGTAACTCTACTCTAAGTTCTTTTGCCGCACTATCCATTCGGGGTTCCATTGTATCTGCTTCATTTTAATTAATTAGCGCGCTTAAAAAACGAAGGGGGAACGAAGGAAAATTTCCACTTCTCGCCTGCTGACCCAAATTTGCGGTTTAGTCCGCTTTCTACGCGCATTTTTCCATTTTCCATTTCTCATTTTTCATTTCGCTTTTCATTTTTTATTTGCGCGAGCCACGTCCTTGCCAAGGACCCCGCCCATTTGAGTTGAGCCCAGGACATGGCTTTTAATTGCATGAACATTATGCAAGCAAAGCAGTCCCAAGTCTCCATTTTGTATACTTTGTTGGTTGCTTTTCCTTTTGCCTTTGTTGTTATTCCCCAGCAGTAGAGGAGATTCCGAAAAGAGTTGCTGAGGTGGCGACAATTGAAGACAATTAGCCAAAGTGCTTGGGAAATGAGCTAGTCGTTGAGTCCTGCCAAGTACTAGAAGTGTTTACACTGCAGTGTAGGTGGGAAAATAATGAAAATAATGGAGCGAGTTGACCCAGTTATTATTTGTCTAGCTAAAATTGTAGGCCGACTGCCAGGAAATCTAGCCATTGTCCAAAAAAAAGTGGGTCTTAATATAAAATAATCTAGTATAATCTTATATAAACCAATATTGGAAGAAGAAAATGTAAGAAACATTAGTTTTTTAATTAAAATGGTATATAAAAGTAATAATTAAAATCGTAATTTTAACTGAAAATTTAACAGATGTCTAAGTTGTTCTCCATTTTCCGTAGGCGCCAAGGCTATTCGAAATCAAAAGTTGTCAAATGCCACCTGCTTTCTAAGCGCTCAACAGATTATTTTGTAAATTCGTGTTTTATTACGGACAATTTATAACGTTTTCATCCAATTTATGCGCATTTTTGATTTGCACTATAAAGCCCAGCCAGCCACAAGCACACTAATTAATTATGCAAATCTCAGGTGGACAACTTTTATCTACAGCATCAGCGGCACCAGTGACTTGATAACACAAAAATTACACAGCATAAAAAATCGAGATAAACGTATAGACATAGATATGTTAATGAACATTATCTGAACTAAGGGCCTAAGACGATCCCACGACTGAATTCCAATGGAGTCGCAAGACCAAGGGATCTCGGCACACATTACTCATCCGCCACGTAGGCTGCATTCAATTTGGTTGTTTTTTCTTTTGATAGATAAGCCGCAGGCCGTGACGCTCCATTTATCATAGAAAATTCATGAAGCTGCGGCCGCCCATTTCGACACTGTGACCTCACCTTTCAGGTAATTCGGAGCCCTTGGGTTTGGCCTCAGACTGTCCAAAAAGTATCTGAGCGATTGAAGTGGTCCGTGCTGCCCGAGCTAATCATTTTCATTCCGTCTGCCCTACGCACACATTACGCAAATGCACAAATTCAATTCATTATGCCCGCAGGCTTAGGCCCAAAATTGGAGCCTCGAGGTGCGGTTTCTTGGGTTCCCTAGGTTTCTCAGGGCGGGGCCCATCACAGCTCAAATTCAACTGAAGTTGACGGCTGAGGCTTTCACTGGCTCACAATGGAGGTTTTTCATCTTGTTTACCTTTCAAATTGAAGATGTAGCTAAAAATATTTAAATTTAAAAAAACCTAATACATTACTATATAGACTCTTTTTGCAAATTTTGATACCCTTTCTTTCATGAAAATTAAACACTTCGGACTAGCTTTCTTCAAAGTAACGTTGCTTATATAAAATTTAACATTTTTAGATCCAAATATTATATCTTAATTAAAAAATGTTTACAAATTCAAGTTATTTTCAACTTAATATATTTAACATATAATACAATAGTCATTAATTAAGGATTTCTGCAAAATGTTTAGGATCTGATAAATATCTAGTACGCTATTTGAAAGACTTAAAAGTGGTACATCCACCAATATTCTATAGTGCTTCCCCTGCAATAGAAATACTTCCAACAGACAATTCTCATGAAACATGATACTGTAAATTCCCTTTGTAGGTCATCGGCAAGTCACGTATGCCTTTGGCTCCCGGCATTCGCCATTCAATTTGCGCCTATATCTGCTTGGAGTGGCTTAGGCCAAAGTTAATTTGCAAGGCGGCATGTTTCATATCAGACGCCAAAATGCTTTCTTGATGACTCAACAACAACAGCAACAACAAGTTGATTCCCATTGTGTCGGCCACTTGAGAGCAAAACATGTTCTTTTGGTTTATCTTGGCGCCACGATCGTCGGCAAAGGCCGCGGTATTTGCTAAAAAAAAAAAACAAAAAGACGCTGAAAAAACTGAAAGAAACACAAAGGCGATAATTAAACGCAAAACAAAGCGGCCGAGAACAGAAAAAAAATCGGAAAGTCAAAGATCCCAGGCACATCAAGCGGTCGACCTTTAATTAGAAAAGGTGTACAAGCCGAGTAACAAAAAACAAACAAACAATCTCCAAGAGAATTAAACTAAGATAATCCAAGAAACCACATTAGAGTTTAGAGAATGGAAGTTTGTACGAATTGTAGCTAGATATTAAGACATTTCTAACAAGCTAAAAAATATAAAATATATGTAAGGTAGTAACTAAATAATAAACTTTAAGTCCAACTACGAGAGCCGCTGGGCAATATTATTTATTAGGCAGGTGATGTGCCAACATGGCCAGGGCAAAAGAATTCGTAAAAGAAAAGATATAAACCAAAGATAAAACTTCATAATTGCGTCTGTGTGGCCAAGCAGAAAACCGAGGGAAAAGGCAGCCAAATAAAGTGAAAAACAAAAAGTGGCTGCTCCGAGTAGTTGTGGCCAGATAGCTCGTATCTGGCATGTAAGTGTTAATGAAGTTAAGTGTTTTTGACGCGAACGACCGGCAATAACCAAAGCAACAAACAATTAATGAGAAGTCGCATACCATCTAGCCAAGCGAGTGGCGAGAAAAAAATGTTCGGCCCTCTATGATAAAGATCAACAAATGCCAAAAAAAAAGGAATACCCAGAAACAAGAGAAAAATGTGGGCATCCGGAGATAGAAAAAAAATATACAGAGAAACAGTCCAGAAAAAATGTTTAAATTAAGCTAACACAAGGCAAAAAGTGGCTTTACACAAAGCTAAAGCTTACTTAATTACCTTTCAAAAGACAAAACATAACTAGATTCACAGGAAGACATTTTAAAATATTTTATTTAAATTTATCAGACAATTATAAGCTTTCACCCCAATTCATATATAAATACGCAAGTTATTTTGGTCTTATTACGC